ACTACTAGTTAGTATTAGTAGTAGTTAGTGTGTGTGTGTGTGTGTGTGTGTGTGTGTGTGTGTGTATATATATATATATATATATAGTATATATATATATATATATATATATATATATATATATGGTGTGCCTATGTGTGTGTGTGTGTGTGTGTGGATGCTTTGATAGAGATGGTCTTGACAGTTTCTATGATCTTGCAGAAACACAAGTGTGTTCCGTTGGAAGAACTAGCTGCTGAATTCAAACTACGCACTCAGGTATTTATTCCCCAATCTTCTTGTTGCCGCATAATCTATTGTATATTATTTAGATTTTTGAATCCCTATGGTAAGCTCAATCGTTTGGGAATCTCATAATTATCTAGTGGATGTATTGAATTGTGCTCCTTGCTCTATCTGTCTTTAGTTGGATAAATATTTTTTACTTAGGTGGAAAAAAACAAAAAAGAAAACTAGAATTTTTGATGAAAATAGACCTTCATGGTATCCATTTACAACATCATGCTTCAAGAAATGTGCATTGTGGGGCATGTAATTTGTTCAACAGGGATTATATCTGTTGTCAATAGAGAATATGCAAAACATTTCTTTAATATAATCAGCACATGGCCTTGTACTTATTTCATGGAAAATGGGTCTTGATGTCCCGCAGCCTTGTCTAATGTCTCCCCTTGCCCCTCTTTTATGTGAAAGAGCTGGGCCTAATGTTTCGAATTTCCCTCTAAACCTAGTATTACAATGAATTCATGTTGTAAATATCATGCATCAGCTTGCCTGAAATGGGAGCATAGTTTCAAAATGCGCTAGGTGGGTCCAGGCCGCCCAGCGCCTAGGCGGGCGCCCGGAACTTGGGCGGCCCAGTTGAATCCAAATAAGGATTTTGGCATTCTGCAGTTATGTCAATATCTGTTATATGTATTGCAGTACATAATTCAAATTATACTATATATTATTTAGCATTTAGCACACACTCCATAAGCATAACCATAATCCATAAGTCGGTTCATACTCCATATCCAATTAAAACTTAAAATTTTCCAACCAACCAAATTATCAAACCAAGTTATCAAATAGTATCACACCAGTACTGAGGAAGAAAACAAAATTGAATTATGAAATTATGAAAGTAATACTTGAAGACTCAAAAGAATCTTCAATAATCAATACACAGTAGTTTAATCAAAGTTCAAACTTCAAAGTTTAATAATTATTCAACAATCAACATTCATTCATCATCAGAAAATCTTGGGTCAGCTGCATTGGCATCATATTCATCGGAGTCGATGGTGTCGTCACTCTCCTCGACATATTGGTCGTCCCTATCCTCCTCCATCTTTTGAATCAGCCTCTTCTTCCTGCTCTTCCTCCATCCTTGTTCTCTGTACAGAAGATCTAGTGGCCCTAGGAGGGTCAGTTGATGTCCCTGAAGCATCCATGACCATGTCCCATGTCAATACTTTATGCCCCTCGACATCATCATCAACTAACCACGCCATAGCATGATCCATATTTTTTGATCTGTCTTATCTCTCTTAGCAAGCCTGTCCTTCAAGAATCGATTGTACTTGATATAGACTAGGTCATTGAGCCTCTTTGAGTCACGCCTGTTCTTTTTCAATGTATGAATCTAACAAAATCAAATGAAACAAATTAAAATCTAATATCTATGGTTTATGTATTATTTATAAAATTATACAAATTACCCTTACGACCTTACCCCTTCAAAAGCATTCCAATTGTGCTCACAACCAGATGAAGTAGTGGTTAGGTTTAAGATCCGAATGGCCAACTTTTGTAAATTTGGAGAACTACACCCATGTTGGCTCCACCAATGAGCTGCAAAGATATAGAAAAAAATCATAAATAAATAATAGAATTACTTGATTACTTGAACTTGATAAAGATGAACTTAAGAGTATTATTAATACTTGGTCCAGTTTTGGTCCTTTGCCTCATCGCCATTGGAGTCCCAAAAGACTTTAATGAGCACTTGTAATTTATCAATCAGCACAAATAATGTCCTGCATTTCAAGATCAGGGACTAGCATCTCTACACACTCATTAAATCCATTCATAATTGGGTTATTTGTTTGTACATCCTTGTCATAAAACAAAGCTGGGTTAAAAAAATAACCAGCTGCATGCAATGGCTGATGTAGCTGCCTATCCCACTTCTCATCAATAATCTCCCAAACAGGTTTGTAGCGGATTTCTTCATCATTGAAATTTTGGGCTCTCTTTTGCATTTCTCCATAGCTTCATATATGTAGCCCATAGAAAGCTTGTCACTATCAACCATGCGAAGGACTTTGACAAGAGGAAAAAATACCTTAAGAGCGCCTTTCACTCCTCGCCAAAAAGCCTTACAAAGGATAATATCTCTCACTTTCTTCCCAACCTGATCCTTAGATCATTTGCATGCTCTCCACTCATCTGAGATAAACATTTGCCTCAATTGCACTCTCCTCGAAAGAATGCTATCTAAACATAAGTACCAGGTCACAAATCTCGTGACCCCAGGCCTCACAATCTCTTTCTTCTTTGTAAAGGTACACATCATGCTAAGAGTGAGATGGTGGCTATAAATGAAATTTGTAACTAACTTGGCCTTCTTCACTGCACCTGATATCTCGATTAAACCGCCAAGACCCTCAAGCATGAGGTCTATACAATGTGATGCACATGGTGTCCAAAAGATTCTAGGATAAGCTATGCACAACAAATTAGATGCAGCAACATTAGGAGCAGCATTGTCTGTGACTAACCTGTACAACAAGATGCTCCCCAACTTCCTTGATTTCCTGCTCTATCACTTGAAATATGTAATGGGCATCATGGATATGATCAGAGGCATCAATAGACTTAAAAAAAAAGTCCCTGCAGGACAATTCACAAGCAAATTCATCTGACTTCTTCTCTTCCTATCACTCCAACCATCAGTCATAATAGAAACTCCATACTGAGCTCATGCATTTTTCTTAAGTTCTACGTCTTCCTTCGTGGCACTCACTGCCTTTTTTAAGAAAGGCTCTGAAAGCTCATATGCGGTTGGGGGTGTCATCCCAGTTCCAAATTGGCCAACTGCCTCTATCGCAGCATAGAAGCTGCTTAAGCGAGCGGTATTGAAAGGAATGCCCGCCTTGTAAAACCTTGTAGCAAGATAATACACAGCTCTATCTCTCTTCCTTTTGGATTCTATTTTCAATGGTGGTTTGTTTTTTTTCAAGGTCAGGCCTAGGTAAAAAACTATTCATAGGGCCTCTAACCCGAGGCTTCTTAGTCTCAGAACCATAAACAATTACAACTCCCTTCCCGTTTCCCCTAATAATGGATTGCTAACCTCTTGACATCCCTCTCCAATTCTTTCCTCATTACTATCATCATCATCAAACTTGACTCAAACCTCAGACCCAATCTCTGCTATAGAGGCAATTCTCTCATCTTTTTTCATTTTCACCATGTTCAAAAAATTCTTTATTTCCTCTTTATCGGCATCAGGAGTCTTTTTACATGGGGCAACATCTCCCCTGATACCGGCAAGATGTTTCTTGAAGCAGTTTATACCCCATTTTGTATCATTTTTACAAAATTTGTATCTTATGCAATTTTTATTATTAGCATCTGCGTTATAGCCATATTTCCAACCGGGATCACCACTCCTATTAGATCCTGAAGAAGACATCTAAAAATTAATGCAAATTACTAAATCAATAAAAAAAAATCACTTACTTTGAGTTTGATTGCTCAATCTTCAAACTTCTGCCTCAAAGATGCTTCTAAATACTAAAAATCTTCTAAAAACCCCCTAATAACTTCGCAAAACATCAAAAAGTAAATATAATACCAATGGGTGATGTTTTGATCAATTTTTGTTAACTTTGAGTAACCCTTCGATCCTAAAAAATTCACCACAATCTAGTTTTTTTGGAGCTTTCTCTCTCTAAATTTGGCTTCAAGAAGTTTTAGGTTTCTAATGAACCTAAAACCCTAATTTTTGGCCTTTAAAAACAAAAAAAAAAGGACAAAAAATGCCCTCACTGAATGGTTTTTCGCCACTGGGCAGGGCGTAGCCCCTGGGCGGCCGCTTAGGGTTGGGCGCCCGTCTAGGCAGATTCCGTACTGCCTATGCGGCTGCCTACGGTTCGACCGCCCAGATTGGCTTCCTAGGCTTGGGCGATGCACCCAGGCCTTGTGGACCACCTAGGGCGGTTCGCTTTTTGAATCATTGAATGGGAGTTATAGACTTCTCTGGTTTTCATGCCCTCTAGGATCTACCTAGTTCATCTAAATGTAGCCCTTAGGTAGAAATCCTTTCTCTTGATGTCAGACTTTATTATTTGGAAATAAAATGCAATAGGGATAAGAAGGGCATGGTCTGGACTCATGCTATTCACAATATTGCGGTCGGCTGTTGTCTTTCTACTGGTGTTTTCACTTCTAAAAGAAAATCTGTGGTGTTAGTGGATGAAGGTGAGCAGGAGCAATTAAGCAGCAAACATCGAACATGAGATACTTAAGAAAGTATTGCTTGTGAGTATTGTAATGCGACCATGTAAGGAGATACAGCCTCTTATTGTTTCATCTCATTGTTTAGAGGGGGGAGTGTTAGGGGATTACTGTGAGGGGCATGATTTGTGACTCAGAGATTCCATGTGTTTGGTCACACTAGAGTACCATTAATATCAGGTAGTATATTTACTAAGAGATTGGAGGTTGATGCCATCCGCTATGGTCACCTTGTGCCAAGTTCAGCATGAATTTAGGCAATTAGTTACATTTAGCCCAGAAAACTTGGATTCCAGTGATGAACGCTTGTCATTAAATTTGTGTTCAAATGTGGTCTATTCTTGTAGTATTTTTCTATGTTTTCCATTGAGCTGATTTGATATTTGGAAGTTGGTAATGCAGGACTGTATCAACCGAATCACATCACTTGAAAAGATGGGTGAGTCTCTCTCTCTCTCTCTCTCTCTAACACATACATGCAAAAAAAGAAAAAGATTCATGTATTAATGAACAGAATGAACACATGCACACATGTAAGGCATGGTGTCTCGCAATCGGTTTGGGTAGGTGTTCAAAAGTATGTGCTTCTAATTTGCAGGGAAGTTGTCTGGTGTAATGGATGACAGAGGAAAATACATATATATCTCTCCTGAGGAAATGAAAGCAGTTGCAGATTACTTAAAGAGGCAAGGCAGGGTTAGCATTTCTCATCTGGGTTCCCAATCGAATCAGTTCATTGATCTGGAGCCAAAAGTGGACCCCATCGAAACTGTACTTGTTCCTGCAAATGGAACGATCATTGAATGTTTTTGATGTAAAAGCATGTGCATGCTACAGTAAATTGGAATGCTGTTATGATATAAAAGTAGCAGCACCACTCTTTTTATTTACCGTAATTACAGTGTACCATGACAAATGATGTAATAGAAAAATGGAATTATTTTTATTGATATGAAAGTAACACCACTTTGCGTATTTTGAGTACAAAAGAGCATGACGAACGGTACAATATACTACACTTAAGCTTTGCTGGCTACAATGAATGAGAAAGTCTCATGCATCCACGCATTTGTTTCATCCGTAGGGTTGATAAGAAATCTCTTTAACAGTAGCCCAATTACTCCACTGATCACTGATTTCGCAAAATGTGTCGCACATAAAATAACAAACACCTAGGTTGGCTTATTGGATTACAGGATTTTAAATTCATGCTCCCCCGAATATCAACATTGATGGCCAACTTTTATCCTCTACAATGTATATAGAGAGCGATTTGCCTCTATCTTACATGGGAGCAGCAATAGCCATCTCGGTGGTGGAACTGTGCTTCCATATCTTTTTCTTCTTAGCCTGAAATATTGAGAAATAGAAAACCTTGGTTTTCGGTTATGAGAAAGCGAAAGTGAAGGAAAATACCTAGATATGCGTTAATCTGACCTTTTTAAGATATTTCTTATGAATCTTCATTGCTTCACAGCATGAAATCTTCATTGCTCCACTGTATACTTTCTTGGTATCCAGATTTCCAGTAATGTCATTCAAAATCTGCTTGTTGAGCAAAGCAAAAGATTGGGAAAGTTGGTGATTGGGTCCCCACAACACTACTACTATTACTACATTCAAAATATAACAAAAAAATGAGTCTTGGTACTTGACGACATCATCAAGCCCCCTGGCCTCATGCAACAGCTTCCAGCTTTTGGCCTTGAGGGCGCTGGCAACCAGGAAAACTGATATGGGAAGGTTTTGTTAGTTCTTTGGCCCATTCCTCATGTGCTCTCGCTCAAATTTCCCACATTGACATATCGACTTCACTCTTTGTGAAAAATCGAACCGGATATGAACTCAGAAGTGGTTCAACTGGTCTAATCGGTAAATAAGCCGATTCAACCGTTCTAACAAGTCCAGTCTCGGGCGGTTAAAAACTGTTAAATAAATACAAAAAAAATCTAAGAAAATATAAAAAGTATCTTTTAAGAACTAATAAACAAAGCACATCCAAAGAAAGTTGAAAATAAATAAATTTTAAAAAAAGATGGAAAACTATAAAAATACGTATTAATGACCAAAATAATTTCCACTCTTTCCCTTAATGAACAAAAGCATTAAAAAAA